TGCTCCCGAAGGGGTGAGACCAGTGGAGTATCTTAGATGGCTGCTCACAGGCTTTTAAGACCCTAGACGCTACTCACCAAGGTAGAATGTAGAACGTTGTCTTTATAAAGTGTGTTATGCCAGTTGAGCTAGATGTTCCTCGAGACCATGGTCCCCACAGCCCTCCGCCCAGCAATTTAGTCCCTCAGGGAGTTTTGAAGTGTCTACAGAGCTTCCATGACCTTTCCTCGTACAAGTTGTGCTGGTTTGGGGGAGCCATTTTTAATGGATTAGACTGTTGCCAAAAAATTATTCTATCCATCAGTGGCTCACCCTTTGGAGCTTGGGAAATTCTTCTTATACAGAGACTGGGAAAGGCATATTTGTTATACTAGACTCTGACTTGAACTGCTCACCTTAACCCATCTGCAGGTAGAGTATTTCACCTAATGCTTATAACTGTATCAAAACAAGTTGCATCTTGTTTCTTGCTTTTGCATAAGTAGCTGTGGTCATATGTAATTACAACATTGTACCCTACTTTGTCTTTCTTCTGTACATTTTACATGGCGTTTTCCCATTTAATTATAAACTCATAAAAATGTTTAATGATTGACAAAATTGTGGTTAAGTAAATTATGTCATTGTGGCAAATTTACTTAACTATTCTCCAGATATTGGGCATTTAAGTGGCTTTCACTTTTAAAATTTAAGTATAGTTTTTACTGATTTCTTAAAAAAAAAATTCTTTCCTGGAAAATTTTTTTTAATCCACTTATTGTGATGTTTAACAGTGGCTTCTTGAGGTTTCGCTTAGCATTTACATTAGCTTCTTCCTTTTGTGGAGTCTCTGGTGGTGCAAATAGTTAATGAAGTTGGAGGTTTGAGTCCACCCAGAGAAACCTTGGAAGAAAGGCCTGGCAATCTACTTCTGAAAAATTGTCCATTGAAAACCTATGGAGCACAGTCCTACTCTGACACACATGGTGTCACCATGGGTCAGAATCGACTGGATGACAACTGGTGATTTCTGCCTTTTGTATCTCCAAGTGTTTGTGGTTGGTCTTTTTAGATGCTCTTACTGCTGTCATGGACATCTCTAGCTTTTGTTCTCTGTATTTCTCTCAGGTAGGACAATTTCCCAGCCTGCTTCAGTCTACTTTCTTCAGACTCATGTTTTTCTAGTTATGCAGTAGGGATTCATCCATGCATTTGTGCTATGAAACTTATCTTCCCAGTTAGGCCTTGTGATATAAAATTTATGTCTAAAACCAGAGTAGACTTTGTTCCTGGGGTGGCAAAAATTGAATTTTCAGCAGTCAGTCTCTAGATAGATGAAAGCACCAGGGAATAGTTTGGGAGTGTTGCACATTTTTTGAAAGTTGTTTATGAAAGTTATTTTTGGTCCTCTCTTTGCTATTTTACATCACATTGTCATTATTAATATGATGCTGTTGATCCAGGGATGTGGATTTATTCAGTTTTACACTTTTTTTTTCCTCTTCTAAAAGAAACATGTAATTACTAACCATGTCTCAGAAGATGGACGAATTGTTGTCTACTTTGTGCTACCCAGCGGGAGTCTCTCATTTTTGGCTAGCATTCAAGTTTCTATATAAAGATGTGCTCTTTGCTTATATGCTTTTTATGATAAAGACAACTGCAGTCTGAGGAGAAGCTACTCAATGCACAACAAATGGTGGTAAATGGGAGGGTAGAAAAAAAAGAGATGCTTAGATCAGGTTTTTGCAGTTTATTAATGATTGTGGAACATTTTTTACTTCTTTTTACAGATTTTGGATGTCTTCTTTTGGGGGTTTCTGGCAGTGCCGGTGTTTCAGAAATCTTCCCCTCCTCTCACCAGTGGAGTGAACAAATACAGCTCCTCAGTAGGCCGTTGAAGAGAACAATCACAGGTAATATCTTCTTTTCTTATTACTATTGATAGCGTTCAGTAATGCTCTATAATACACTACCCTTTTTTTTTATAACAAACTTACTTGAACTTACATCCAGGTGAACGTTAACTAAGAACAAGTTGCCGTCGAGTCGATTCTGACTCATAGCGACACTATAAGGACGTGGTAAAACTACCCCACAGGGTTTCCAAGGCTGTAAACCTTTACGGAAGTGGACTGCCACATCTTTCTGCCGTGGAGTGGCTGGTGAGTTCCAACCTCTAACCCTCCAACCCTTCAGTTAGCAGCCTAGTGCTTAACCACTGCGCCACCAGGGCTCCTTAAGTGAACGTTATCTTGTTCTAAACAGTTCTCTTGAGAAGAGACTATCATCTATCCTCTACTTGAAAAGTTTTTGTAATTTTTCTTTGGAACTGCATATTGATCCTCTGATAGCATTCTTTTGAAAATCTTATTTTCTGTGGTGGCACATCTCAACCCTCTGAGGGTATATTTGGGAAATAGTCTAAACTCATTTAGAGCTAGGGTGATGAAGCTCGGGAGCTCTTAATTTTGATCAAAAACAAGAGCGAGCAATAACACAATGAAACAGTTTTTGTGATTTGTGTATGAAGGTGCATCTACTGTATTGGAAGTTAATTTTAAGAAGAGGTGATCCTAAGTTTCAAGCAGTGGTAGTATTGTTAAAATAAGTGATTTAGGCTTCATAGCTTCCAGAGAAGCATATATTAATTGTTTTACTGTATAAATGTTGGTCTTCTTTCTTATAAAGAATAATTATCTGTCAGTGTTGTAGAAAAGGTTCCTGTACCTGGTTGGTGCAAACGGTTAATGAGCTTGGCTCCTAACAGAAAGGTTGGAGGTTTGAGTCCACCCAGAGGAGCCTGGGAAGAAAGGCCTGGTATTCTACTTCAGAAAAATCAGCCATCAAAAACCCCGTGAAGCACAGTTCAACTCTGACACACATGGGATCACCATGAGTCAGGATTGACTCAATTGATTAGTTATGAGTTAAGTTAAATAAGATGATGTCTGAACATCCATATAAGGAATACCTCTAAGACTTTATAATTCTACTTTACAAATGTTTCCCTGGGGGTGTGTTTTGCAATGTTTCTCAAAGTGTTATTAGGGTACTTGTTAAAAAAATACACATTAAAAAAGCTCTTATTACTAGGCCCTAATCTAGTGGGCCAGAATCAGAGTGTGGATGGAGGCAGGGCTTGGGAATCTGCATTTTACAGGTCAGGGCCATCAGTGTTTGGCAACTACTATGCAGTAAAATCAGACATTTGCCTAAGTCTTGGGGAAACCAACTTGGCAAAATTTATGCACAAACTTACTTTCTCTCTCTTTCTGTATGTCTGCTAAAACAACAGTCTAATTGATTTACTGTACACTTTGTCCTTAAGTTACATTCTGTAGAAGTCTTTTGCTTCTTTTTTAGTGAGACATTTTTGCTCTCACTGCTGCTTTTTCCAGTTTTGTAAATGCTACCCGATAAACACGACTACATACTTAGAATCTGTACTTTTTGATTTAAGGCTGTTGTATAGTTATTGACTTAATTTTTGCTTTGAGTAAAACAATGCCAATATTCTTAGTATGCTTTTTTGACAAAAGGTTATGATCTCAAGTAGATTATTGTTAGATCAAATTGAGAATATAATTGAATAAAACTGTTGTTTTTGAGCTTTATGTCTAAATTTGAATTGGATATATTTTTCCTTGGATGGAAATAGATAAATCTGTTTTTGACATCTAGATGCCAAATACTAAATTTTATGAAATACCAGCTCTATGAAATATCTGTCTAATAAGTTGTACCTCAGTTATCTTGTTCAAGTTGAGGGTAAAGAGAACTGGGTAGGCCCTGGAGTCTGTGCTATGCTACACTTAACATCCAGTCCAGCATTTTTCAGTAAACATTGAGATGAAGGTTTGGCTGTGCAATTTATGGTTCAAACAGACAAAAATTCTTTCTTTCTATTGCCCTGAGATTTTTTGAAGTGCTTCAAATCCTCCAAATGAAAGGGAAAAGGGAGCATATTAGCATGAAATGAAACAGTAGCATTTTATATGAAGTTATTTTCATTACTATGTATGTTCTTTAGTAATTGTTCCTATAAATTTATTAAATTTATAGGATGTCAGATTTGTGTATATAGGATATTATTTTTTGATATTTATATCCTATAACAAATTACACCTTTATTTTAAAAGATACATACAATAACATTCTGTGTGTATTAATTTTGAGAGATAATATAGTTTATGTAAAATAAAAGTGTGACTATAGATTTATAAATTAAGGCTATTAACTTCAGATTCTTGTTTCTTTATTGAAATATTTAACTTACTGATATAGAATATTATAATAAGTTTATGCTTTTAAAGATAGCTCAGAGTAAGGGTGAGAACAGTAGACAATCATAGATAGCTATGTTGTTTCTACATTAGGAATTCCTGTAAAATCCTTTGTTTCTGATTAAGAAGATATTTCAGAAACAAAAGGGTATTGAGGAATGGCATGGATAGATTTGAAGCTCAACTTAGACTGAGATTTAACAGTTAGTAGCTAGGCTTTTGGAGCTCTGGTGGTGCAGTGGTTAAGAGCTCGGCTGCTAACCAAAAGGTCAGCAGTTCAAATCCACCAACCGCTCCTTGGAAACCCTATGGGGCAGTTCTGCTCTGCCCTATAGGGTGGCTATGCATAGGAATTGACTTGACAGCAACGGGTTTGGTTTTGGTTGGTTTAGCTAGGCATAGCGCCTATGTTTACATTATATTAATTAATTTTATGTGACTTTTTAAAATTTGGAATTTGATTCTGGTAGACTCTTGAGTTTTGGTCTTAAGGTAGGGGTGTGTGTGTCCCATTAACTGGGCTTATCCCACTTAACTCCAACAGATGAGAGATCCTCTAATGTTTTAGGGAGCTTTCGTTTCAGGGTCATAAACAGAATCAACATTCTCCTGGCAAAGAATAGCCAATGAATTGCCTCCATTTACAACTGCCTCATTAGACATGGGACCAGAAGAAATGGATTGTGCCTGCCTGCCATTACTAAATGTTTTGATCAAAGATTCTATAGAATAATACTTATCAAAAGGGAGAAAATGCAGAACAGGATTTCAAATTCTCATGGAATCCATGCTTTCTGGAGCCAAGGAGGCTGCATGAGCCCCTGACACTATTGCCCTGAGATAATCTTTAAACCTTAAACCAAAAATATCCCCTGAAGTCTTCTTTAAACCAACCAGTAATTTAGCTTAATTAGTAAAGAATGTATCTGCCTTGAGCATTGTGTTCTTTTAAGAACTATCTATGTGGAATCAAATTGAAAATAGCAACTTGGAAGATGAGATAGGAAACTTAGGGGGCAGTGAATTTATGCTAATGGGGAGTAACAATTCAAAAAAGGAGGTCGTGAATGGTTGCACAACTTGAAGAGTGTAATCTGTGTCCCTGAATTGTGCATGTAGAAATTGTTGAATTGGTATGTGTTGTGCTGTGTATATTCTCAACAACAACACAAAACAAATTAAAAGTTAATTTATTTAATTAAAAATGAGAACGAAGCAAATCCTAGGAAAAATCTATAGGTAGCTTGAACCATTCATCTGTCTGTGTAGCAGGAGTTACTTGGACTCTGCTCTTGCTCTAAAAAGCTGTATGTGTGTTGAAAGAATGATATTTACACTGGTTTTGAAAAGGTCAGAAACCAAATATTGTGCCCTTAGATGTGAGGTTATTTTTGGGAGGGCAAGTAGCTGTTGGGAGTAGGATGGGGAAAATACAAAAGCAAATATATGTAACTGATTGAAAGGAAATCTTGGGCCAGGGTACTAGGAAGACAGAGGGAGCAGCTTAGGTGGATGTAGGAGTAACTTGGATGATGAAAGGATGTAACACTTAGGTGTATTACTTTCTTTGGAGAAAATAATAGCAGATAGTAAAGGTAGCACAGCATGAACCACAAGTGGAAATTGGGATTGAAATTGGAGTCTAAAGGGCTGAAGACAATATGATGGAAAATGTGAATGGTAGTGATGAGGAAATGCTGTCAATAGAATTCATCCCTTAGAGGTTTCGGATGTATTCTCAGAAGAGTGAGGCAAATAGCAGGGAGACAGAGGCAATTGCAGATATTCTGAACTGCTGAGAGAATTAAGAGCTGTCTGCATGAGGAAAGAGTAGCAGTTGTAGCAGCATTAAAGTGCTTTCCTTTCTAATGTAATGCTGGGAATGTCTGGTCAAGGGGAATTGGGGTGAGAGGTGAGGATCTTCCTTTGTGGCTTCCCTGGCTTTGTGTGGTACCAGTGGGAAACCATTTTCAAAAGTGGTTTTGAAAAAAAAAAAAAAGTGGTTTGGAATAAAAATCTAGCCTGGAGACTGGTTTGGGACTAGGATCTCTGAGTAAATAACACAGAAAGAGGGCTAAAGATGACTTGTTACAGTTGAATAACCGAATCAGCTACCTAATTATAAACAAGTTGCCATCAAGTTGATTCCAACTCATGGCGATCCTGTGTGTGTCAGAGTAGAACTACTCCATAGGGTTTTCATGGCTGTGACCTTTTGGAAGGAAATTCTGCTAAGGCTCCTCTGGGTGGGTTTGAACTACCAACCTTTTGGTTAGTAGTCGAGCACTAACCATTTCTGCCACCCAGGGACTCCTACCTAATTATAATATTCTGCAGTTCATTCTGCACCTACCTTTTCATAATTTTATAGATTTTTAAAATTATAATCTGTATCTACCTTCTTTTTATGAATTTACTTTTTGTATTTGTCGTTGTTGTCTTTTCACGTGTTCCATGACCCTTATAGTTTTATTCTAGCTTAGTTTGGATTTTTTCTAGCTCTGTATGTCTCTTCCAAGTGACCAGAATGGCTTTGAATAAATGTATATGATTTAGTTTGGTCATGGTTTCTATTTCATTTTTAACATTGTTCTTGAGATACCTTGCCTTGTCTTGGTCTTTAAGGGCAC